ACAGTAATGTGTAACTTACTGTAGTTTTCAAATGGCTGTTGCAACATAGTATATAGTTGTCCTTGAGCATTTTCAGATTTCAAATTCTACACACAGTGGCTCTGACTTACAAAATAGACTGTTTCTGAACGAAACATGGTGTGTAATAAAATGATAATACTAAATATTAAGACATATGTGTTCCACGAGCTGAGGCAACAATAGACAATAGGTTTTCTGTTCACAAACAATCCAGGATGGACGGCAGCAGGGGAGTAGAAAACATGTTGCCAAAATGCCATGATAGCTCTATGTACATATTAAGTATTTAGAAATTAAAGGGATCAGAATCAGAATCGGGTTTATTGCCAAGTACGTTTTTACACATACAAGGAATTTGTCTTGATGCATTGGTGCATAAAAATCACACAAAATAAAACCTTTTAAAAATGTAAAGATAGGATAAAGATAGAAAGATCCAAACTGTACAGGAAATATATTTACAATGTGCAGGATAGAAAAACCAATGGGAGTGCATTAATGTAATGCATATATATAGGGTGGGTTTAAGAGTCAGTGTCAGTGGGGGTTCCAGGCCTTGTTTGTGAGGCCAGCTGCAGACGGAAAGAAACTGTTCTTGTGGCGTGAAGTTTTGGTCCTGATAGACTAGACCTACTGCCAGAGGGAAGTGTTTCAAAGAGGATAGTTTTGGTATTTTAAAGTAGGGTTCCAGTGGGGCAGCAGCAGCTCTGCAGCAGCCACACAAGCAGACACACTCTCAGTGCAATGCAATTACTTTTTTAAATCTACAGTTTAAGTCACCCCCCTTTCCCCAACATAATCACATTATCTATGACAGAGCATGACAAAAACCTACCAAATACACATTTACAAAGCACTTACAACAGAAGTGTCTCGTCCTCCATGACTTCACACAGCCTCCTTTTCTCTGACAATCTTCCACATAGTCGCTGATGATGTCACAAGCTGCTTTCTGTTTGTCATCATTAAACACCATGTCATAGATACAGTCGTCGTGGTACTGCCTGGAATCTACTCGGCCAACACAGTCAGCCAGGGGTCCATCCTTTGCTGTTATAACATCACAAACTGATGTGTAGCTTGGTGGTGTGAAGTCAGGAGGGAGAGGCTGAGCACAGTCTTTACCTGGCAGCAGGAAAACATCAATATTATTAAAAGCATTATACATTACAGTCATGTTTGTTTCTTTAAACAGCTGGTGTGAAAGATATTTTGAACACAACTTGCAATGTCTTTAAAACTACACTATGTGATAACAAATCACATAAAACAATGTGCAAATGAATCTAATTTTGCCTACATAATATGCACCGGGTGAGGCTATAAAAATCTAAATTGTAGGTAATTCACTGACACTTACCCCGTATCCACCAAGGCAGTGGTTCAGAGCTGGTGCCTAATCTTGAACCAGTTCTTTTTATGTTGGATTTCGACAGGCAAAGAACCGGCTCAGCTAACATAACCCAAGCAAGCATAGCCGTTTGTAACATTAATGTTATGTTTGAGGTTAGTTATATTAATGTTTGTAACATTAATGTTATTGTTTGTAGGTTAGTTATATAATGTTTGTAACGTTAATGTATGTTGAGGTTAGTTATTATTAATTATGTTATTTTGAAGGTATTAATTTAACATTATGTAGTGTTGAGGTTTAGTAACATTGATGTGAGAAATAAGTTAGCCATGCTTGCTTTGGGGTAATGTTAGTCCACCCAACAGCTATGCTAGCTAGCCAGCTAGCTTAGCCTTATGTAAGATTTATAAGGCTCTCCCTAGCCCGTGAAAAAGCAAAACGTGTCCACCAGCCAAAACTTAGCACTAGGGTTACAGTTGTGGAAATATGGGTACAAGTTCTTGTAGTGCATACACTAAGATATAACTTTGAGTTCAGTAGCATTTTAAGAATTTATTAAAATTTATAAAAAGTGTTACTAAAATGTTATACATTAGCCTAGGTAAGATTGCCATCAGACTAACCATGCACAGCACAATATAAAGATAAATAACACTATTATCGTGCTTACCACTCAGGGAGAGCCCTTTACGGTTTGCCAGGCCACTGCTCACTCCGAAGCTCATTGGCATTGGAAGCCAGGCTGTCCAGTTTGGGCAGCATAGGTCATCAGCAGGAATCATCAATTAAGTTTCCCACAGAACCCACAGGTGTATTTTGATATACTTAGCATGCCAGCTCCACCCTCGACTGCACTCGCGAAAGTCAAAAGGAGACCTTAAAACAGTGTTTAATATAAGAGAACTTCTATAAAAGTGTAAAGGTTTCAAGGTGAAACATATTAGCAGTATTTAAGGGCAAAAAACACATCACTGACCAGAACACTGGATTTAGTAGTAGTATAGTCTCCAGACCATGTGTATGCGAATTAAATGTAAAAGCCCAGCTGCTGGGACATAATTCACAGCTTCAATAGACAACAGTATTTTAAACTTTATTTTCTAAGCTGATAAAAACACAGACCCGCTCCTCCACCCGGTTTTCCCACAAGCATCTAACAACCATACATATACACTATTACATAACATACATACATAAAACATACATATTTCATATGGAGTATTGTTCCTGGATGTATTGTAGGACTGCTGGAAGTCAGGTATTTAAGTGCAAGATAAGTAAATATATAAAAAAATAGTTAATTAAAAACAGAATGAATAGATAATAAATAAAGATAGAAAGTCAGAAGAAAAAGCGAATTATACACTGAACTGACACAGACTATGTAACTGACCGAGAGACAAAGCAAAGAACACGAGGAAAGGAAAATACTTCATTGACTGGGAGATTCCTCAAGTTTTTCAGAAAAGTAAATGGTAAATGGTAAATTGGACCCTGTTACTTTGAATAGGCCCTTTCTAGGTCTTCCGAATTACTCAAAGGCTCTTTGGTATAGCTGTTACATTAAGGCTAGCTTCAAAATTATTGTTTAAGTTAAAACTGTCAAACCAAGCTAGCATGTATTGAAATCTCTCAGCAAAAATCCATGCCAACGCTTGAAACTGCACAGCTCCATCATAATTCAATTCCAATTTCAATTCAATTTTATTTGTATATAGCGCCAATCTTGGCATACTTCAATAGAGCAAGTGCTAGGACCTGAACTCCTTTTTTAACATTTACAGAGGACCCAAACAGTACCAGACCATGAAGGCCACTGGCGACGGGGCAAGGAAAAACTGCGCTTTTAAGAAGCAGAAACCTAGACAGACCCGGCTCTAGGTGGGTCGGTCGTCGTCTTGACCAGTTGGGAAGAGAAAAGAAGACAGAGAAAGAGAGAGAGAAAGAGAGAGAGAGAGAGAAACAGAAGAGAGACAGAACAGATGTACAGCAAACCAACAATAGCAACAATTTACATTTAATAGTAATGTCAATGACGATGAAGCAGCCAACGATGGGGGGACAGCGAGCAGCGACACCAGTAACTGTAGTAATAATATTCTTAAATAATAATAATAATATCAAATTAACATAAAAATCCAATTTGATCCCTGGTTTGAAGGTAGGGTCAGTCTCTGAATAAAAGTAATTGATCATTGAGTTATGCATTCCAGGTCGTCAAAGGCTGACTGGGTTGTGCTTAAGATTGTTATTAAGTAGAGATACTTTGACAATGTGGCAGCACCTGTTTGGTGGTTATGGCTCGCTCCTGACCCACTCAGCTTTGTTTCTTCCTGCTTACCATAACCGAAAGCGACGACCTGGAATGACACCCCAGAACAACTGAGCCCACCTTTAACTAGAAGTGTTGCTGGAGTTTTACCTTCTAATCATCATTATGTAAACTGTCAGCCCCCTTTTGTACACTCCATTGTAGTTCAGGGCGTGTACAAAAAGAACAGGAGTTATGCAACTATTTGGAGGCAATTATGTGACTGTAAAAGTCAGAGACTTTCTCAGATCAAAGTCCATTTTAAATACACTCTGTTTAAAAAAATATTACTGGATACTAATCAAGTTAAGTTAAGACCAAGGTAGTGGCAAAAGAATAAGGAATGTAGTTTGGGTTGCATGCACCCAAATAAGGTATACTGTATATGTGGATGTGTGTGTTTAATACCCTTAAGGAAATTTCTGTCTCAAGGACAAGCCATTTCTGTGTCGTGATAAACCCTGGACCAGTGATTGAATTGGATGAGAACTGGTAGAGAATTTTTCAAGCCCATCCTACCTTACAGACAAACACACACACACCCACACACACACACACATTGAGAGAGGCAAGCAAAATATTATATAAATAACTGTCAACAGTCATTGTAAAATGTGTGCACATAATTGTATTTTAATTCCAGGGCTGCTGTAGTTACATAAATGTTATTGGCTGAATGGTGTATGTCTCAACCATCTACACCATAGCTAAGTATGAAACCTCATAGGTTGTTGTAAGGGACATGCCTTCATGATATCTCATTTGTGATCCACTTTCAATTCAATTCAATTCAATTCATGGATTAATGCAAATGAAGCAATGAGCATTATACAGGACACGCCACCAACATAAATGTGCTTTGGTAGTGGCTGACTCTTTTTCCAACCACTCCAAGTATGGGTGTGTGCATTTGTTTTTGTATGCTGTTTTCACCAGTATTTGCCCTGGATAGTCCAGTGAAAAGTGTGGTTAGGTGTTGCCGATAGACTTAAACAGTTCACCACTTTAGGTATGACACCTCTTTTTGGTTGCCACGTGTTATTTCCAGGTTTCCCCTACAATTCACCAAAAAACAGATTAGAGACAGATAGAGCAGGAGAGGGGCAAGAGGATAAAGGGGAAGAGCAGAAGGATAGTAGAGGACATGGAAGGAATGAAGGAGACCAATACATTTGATTTTTGATTATTATTAATATTTTCTGTTTTTTGACTTATTACCCCCTTTCACTATCGCAAACCTTAGGTGCCTTTGTTCTGTGCTGGGCTGGATAAAAGCTGTTTAAAAAAAAGTTCATTGTTGACCAAACATATTAATAGTTTTTATCAAAATTATGTTTCAATTCATCAGCACCGTTTGCTCCAATCTTTTTATTGCTCTAAAATGAAAATATTTATACTTTTTCTGTTTTCCACTCCAAAAAAGCTTGAAATTCAATCTCAGAATAATGGACACTATGGCAATAATCACACAGTGGAAGTAACTTTATGACTATCTGTAGTTATTTAGTTCTAATAATAAGTTTGCCTTCAAATTTTGTGAAAAAATTGCAATGCAATCCCAAAAAAAAGTCTGGTGCATAGTTCAGCCTCACATCAAAGTGCGTCAGACCGTTGCTATTTCCACACACACTGGCCCAGCTTGGTAGACACGAGTTGCCCTGAAAGTCAAACTTTGCGTTCATCAAAGGTGTAGAAGTGTTGGATCTCCGCGTGCAGTGCAATCTTAAAAGCTGATTTGGGTAACAGCCTCGGACTCCAATCCTATGGACACTGCATATCTGCTCCGCGTTTCGACAGGCAGTCCGCTCCATTGCAACCTTTTGTGTGTTGCTGCATACACCACACACACTTCTTGTCACACTTTGTGTCAGCCCAGGAACACCCACCGGGCAAGGTATATTGGCCATCATGGTTACAGCCACAGCCCAGTCTCCTTGACACACACCCTGACAAAAAAAAAAAGGTTTAGTAAGAGAATAAGCATTCCAAGTCCAGTTGAAGATTTTTTCATGACTTTCTCGTCTCCTTTAGAAGCAAATGCCTTTATGAGAGGTGTGGATGAAACAATGACTTCACAGGACTGGTGAACCAAATTGACAGCTGGATATTTTGCGTTTAGTTTTAACTTTAATACATCTACCTTAATAAATTTCCGACTGGTATCTCAACAAAACCAACAGTCTAATATTATCATGTGACAAGATTAAACTAAAGGGGGGAAAGGAAAAAATGGTGATTCCCTGCCTTCACCATAAATAAAATGAGCTTCAAAAGATTAAGAATATGTAAACACAACCTTAACTAATGCACAGCATATTAAAAACTGCATTAATAAAAAA